ATAAGATTAAATAACATATATATATATATTTTTTTTTTTTCTATGATACGTGTATTTTCGAAGATTAGCGAGAATGAACTTTGCTCTTAAAAAAAGGAAAGATAAAAAAAAAATACAAATAATAAGAATATTTCGTGATGGTAGTAATATTTAAAAAAAAAAAAGTAGAAGAAGAATCATCATCTCAACGAGACCTTAGATAATATGATTTACAAAAAAAAAATATATATATATATATATATATATAAAGATAAAAAAGGGAAAGAGAGAGAGAGAGAGAGAGAGATAAGGCAAAACTCATCGAAAGTTTGCCTTAGCAATTTTGTTTGTATTATACATAACACACAAATACTTGATTACTATTTGTATGTATTGTGTGCACATATTACGCATACGCGTATAATTGTCTATATAGGAATAAATTTAGCTTGCGTATGTGTGTGAGAAGTTAAAAGGGCGCCAAGATAGTTGTGCAACATAACAGAACCACCACCCTTTCTCTCCCCCTGTCCACCCCTGTCCCCCCACCCCCTACTATACAGATAAAGGAATTACAAGAGTACGAATACAAGCACGGACGGTGCGATAAAAAGAAATTTGAATTTCCTGAAAACGTGAGAACGGAGATAGTAAAGTGGTGGTGGTGATGGTGGTTGTGGTAGTAGTAGTAATATTTAACCAATCGTAAAAACAAAACGCATCTCTGTTCTTATTTTTCTTTTTAATTTCTATTTCGTGTTTTTTATTTTTTCTTTTTATTTTTTTTTATTTTTGATCGAAATATTCGAATTTTTATTATTAATCTAAGGGCGATGATGATTTGGCCAAAAAAAAAAGAAAGAAAGAATATTGGAAATTTATTTAGAACATAATATAATTGTTGTATCGTGAGAATACTATTATTGTAATCGATGTTATTTTTATTTATTGGTCAAATTGAATGGGTCAATCGTTATAATAATAATATCAACACTTTTATTTGATTTTCTTTATTTTATTATATTTCTTTTAATCGAAATTAAAAAATTCTATTTTCTGTAATAGATTTTTGTGTTTAACTTTGTGTCTCTGAGATAAATTTAAAAAATCCAATTGCGAATAATACAGCTGATTTATTCCTCATGATTATTTTTTAAATACACATTAATTCCAAATATTTCCAAATTTACATTGTATCGCGTTTGAAAGATATATAATATATATATACATAAAAAAAAAAGTAAAAAAACACGTAGTAAAAAGTCTCAAAGATGATCTCGTTCTCCTATCTTACATTCATCTTTTAACTTCTTTACATAAAATTGAAAAACAAAATCAATTACAATTAACATAAAATCAGAATGTAGTTTTGTATATCACGTACAAACGTTATATGGTTACCTCAAATTATTCTCGTTCAAACAATATCGATCTACCTTACGAAATCATCATTCGATATACACATACATATATATATATATATATATATATATATATACATCTACCTTTTGTATCGATAACGAGCGAATCGAAAGGGGTGATGATCGTGTTGTTGTTTTATTTACTTATACACAACTACATTTATATATACATACACACACTTTCTATATATCCATACAGATACACACACATATTCCATTAAAGTGGGCCTTAACTGTTGGTAGATGAAAAGATGGTATAGGGAAGCAATAAAAGGTGGGGATAGGGTTGAGGGGGGTGGGGGAGGGAAGGGAAGAATTGGAAAGGACCGGAACCGGTCCTCGATCTCTCTTTTGGGCCAGGTGCCCAACCGTGGAATGAAAAGTAATGTCTTCTAACTGAATGGCTTGACCACCGTACTCGTTTAACTCGACTAAAATCAATCACTCCGGTTAAGCAGAACGATTCGACGAGGTCTTTCCACTTCTAGATTTACCGCACGAACATCTCAAACCCCTTCCCCCTCTCCCCAACGAAGTATCCTACAGAGGAGCATCTTTGAACGAGCTTAACATCTTATAGATAAATATCTCTACCTTGTCTAACTCGTTCCTACCACCATATCCTCCTACTGGTAGGATTACTTTTTCTTTTTGCTTTTCTTTTTATATTTTTTATTTCTTTCTTTTCTTTTTTTTTATTATTGATTTTATGTTATACTTTTTCTTTCTCTTCCCATTACAACGATATAAATTTTTTCTACGTGTGATCGTAGGTAATTGTTGTTGTCGTAATCGTTGTCATCATTAGTAGAAGAATTTTGTTAAATCAAATCTAAATAAAATCAATTTTATGTATGTGTATGGGGGTAGATATGAGTTCGTGTATTGTAGTATATTATTTGGATATGTTTCTGTGGTTTCTACGTGAAAGAATTTTTTATAGATTTTTATATATTGTTATTGTGTTATATATTGAAATATAAAAGTAGGGTGGAGTTGATAGAACGAACAAACGAATGCCTGGAGATACGTTTTAACGATGAAAGAACAATTACAAAATAATCTGTGATTATCTGGATCAATGTTAAACTTTATTGTTTATGTTAACAGCTGTCCCTTTTGCTTTTGCACTTTTTTCTTTATTTTTTATCTGTTCTTTCAAATAACGAACTCAAAGTTGCAATCATAAAATATATATATATTATAGATGAAAAATAATTATTACGAGAGAAAGATATTAATATAAACGAAGATTGTTTAAGAGATTGTTATAGACGATTAAACAAATTAAAAAAAAAATAATACACTTCTTCTTCCTCTTCTTTTTTTTATTATATTAAAACTTTGTCCTCTGTTATAATAGCTTTGTTTTTGTAATGCTATTTCTAGGTTAGATTTATTGTTTTATTTTATATTAAAAAATTAAAAATTGAAAATTGTTTAAAATTGTAAATTAAAAAAAATCTTCAAAAATGTGAATATATTAGGAAAAAAAACTATAGGAGAAAACTTTTCAACGTGTTCAAATCGTGCGTGTGTATATATGTGTTCTAGAAGGGAAAGTAAAAAAGAAAAAAGAAAAGGAATAAAAAAAAAATAGGAGACGTTCGGTAATGTCGAGTAAAAACGGGGGATGCTGTTAAAGAAAAAGAGAGAGAGAGAGAGAGAGAGAGAGATAGGGAGAGAAATAAAATGAAACAACATCGTCGTCGTCGTCGTCGTTGAGAGTGGGCCCTACGGCTAAGAACTTCGTGGAATTCGCTTTGAGCGAACGTAATTAAGCGAAGGAATAATATCTAACGTTAAGGCCCCCGTAGTCGGACGACATCGCGAATAAAACCGGTCTTTTCTGTGTTCTACCCAGGTGCTTTGAGATTTCGATCGATCGATAAATCCCGATCGATTTCGAGATCTAAAACGATTCGCAGATTTATCGTAACGAATAATTCAACGAGAAATTACGACAATCTATTTTTTTTTCTACACATTTATTTTTTTTCTATTTATCTAACACATTTATTATTTAACGTATCAATTGTATATTCATTATTATTAATTATAATTATTAATAATATTATATTATAAATTATGTGAA